TAGATTAATATAAACATTTTCTAAAATTTATTTTAACAAATTCAAAATTTATAGTATATATGTATAGTAATCAATTTTAAAAATTTTCAATTAAAATTTATAATATATATATATATATAATAATCAATTTTAAAGTTGATTGAGTTTTTTTGAACTTTTCCTTTTTTATATTCGGTTGTGCTAAGTTTCTTGGTTTTTGTTTAAGAGCATGCCAGTATTTGTTTTAGGCTTAACTATTATGCAATAACAAGAAATGTCTGAATTGGATAAGGCACGATATATTTACCGTCTACATTCAATCATTTTATTTCAGACATGTCTTAATAGAAAAAGACAATCTCATAGAAACTTGGTTGTGTTGATCTTTAAAATAAAAAAACGAGTTAACTTGTTAAATGGATCCAAATGATAAAAAAATATATTATAATTTTAATTAAACAGCAGGGAAGAAATTTGATTTGATGGGATTTGTATTTATGGAGTATTGAACATGAGAAAGTGATTGCAGGTGAAAACGAGTGTTATATATATCAAGTTGGGGTGATGCAGATTAAAATCATTTCCGATGGTTATATTATTTTAAATATTTTGGAAATCCGTAAAAAGTTCGTCTAAACAGTTATACTAAATTTTTTAATTAATTCTTTTATTCAAATATCAGAACACACTCTTATCTTTTTATTTAATTAATATTTAAATAATAATAATGATATATCCAATCAAACTATGTGGTTTTCCAAAATCTTCTAAAGATCCATGCTTAGGGTTATTTTTAAGAAAGCTTTTTTTAACATATCTGCTATTTAATCAGATAAAATATCAACAACTGACTGGATATGTGAAATTGAATATATATATATATAGAGAGAGAGAGAGAGAGAGAGAGAGAAAGAGAGAGAGAGAGAGGACGCTTCAAATGCAACACATCACATTTATACAACCAGTGCAACCCAATAAATTGAGATATTCTGGAAATGATGAGGGTTCATTTATTATGATTTAAATATTTATGAAAGATGACTATGTCTTATTAATTATGATCAATACTTTATATTAGGAAATAATCAAAACTTTTATGAAATCACATATTCATCAAATTAAATGTACAGTTGAGATTGAGTTGTATTGGTTGTACAAATATAAAAAGTTGCATAATAACTCACATCTCTCTCTTTATTTATATATATCAAGCTCTAACCGAGGAGATTACCTTTTCTTATTATCCTTGCTATTTTTATTATAACGAATATAACATTTAAAAAAAAATTAAATAATTAAGCTTTCTCGATCTTGAATTTAATTGGTTTATTGGGCTAACAATTAGTTTAAGAGACCAGGCTTCTATATTGGTCTTTCTGGATCCATTGGGCCTTGCCCTTTTTATATCTCAAGTCAAGTAGTTTTCTGTTATTTTTTGAGAGGCTTTTTCGGTTGATGTCCGTTGTATTTTTTAACATCTCGAAATACTTTTATAAGTTTAACGTTTCATACTTCAAAAAGATTTTACTTACAAAAATCAGTTAAACAGATACACGAGACCCTGCTGGAGCCTCATAGTTCTGCCCGTGGTTAGCGTAAAATTTGATCAACAACCATTTAAAATAAGTTTTAAAATGATTTTGTATCTCAAACATATAGTTTCAGAAGGAATGGTTGTAGATTAATCTGTTTTCTTTCTTTATTGTTCTCTTTTTTACATAGTGTGAGAATCTGAATTAAACTTTTGGAGAATACAAGTATAATTGGGGTTATTTAGGTATATAATCTTAATGAGATTTTAATTGAATCAAATTATGGGTTTTAAGGAACAGAGAAAAAAGTAATCATTGGAGTAGCCCCCACAGTAGAGGCTTTCTTAGCGAAAAAAAGTATATTCATGGATGAATTAGGGGAAAAAAAATCTTCAACTTACTTTCAAGTGTCGATTATTTTTGTTGAACTTTCTTTCAGGCTAGCTCTGGGCATGCAGGGGCACATAGACCCAAACCCACTTTGAGTCGGATCCGAGCTCCAGTAGACAGCGAGACAGCCATTGTGGTAAACGGGAGCAAAGCAAGGGAAAGAGAGGTGAGTGACGCCAAGGGGAATTCTAGCAAGAAAGTACGTAGGTGAAAAAGTCTTCCTCTAGAGACCGCTGTTTCACAAGAAGATCAGTATTTTATTCATTTATGCTCAAACATAAAATTTAGTTATTCCTTTTTAATGAGAAATTGTATTTATTTACTTTTATCTGTTTACAATAAAAGTTTTCATCTTATTACATTGTATAATACGATTACACAATCAGTGCTTCATAATACATATATTTGTATCTTACTATGAAAAAAAGGAAACCAAATTTAATGAATCTATGCTTGTTAAGGTTTACTTACATATATGATCGCTATAGAAAAATTGAGTAGAAAAATTACAGAAATTAAGATCTTATAGCAAAAATCGCAATACAAGTCTCATCATAAGATACACTACTAACAAATGAATCTAAGGGAGTGTTTGGTTCATAAAATTTAGTTTTGGTCTAAAACAAGACAATATTAAAAGGTTTGTCTCAGTAATCGAGATTAATTACAATCTCTCTGATTTGTTTATTTCAGTGGTTTTCGTCACTCAACTTCATTTATAAGAATATATCCTTTTGGCTTGCATTTAGTTTTCGTTTTCGTCTTTCCCTTTCATAGACGTTATCTCAAGCCAATTAAGAGACCCTCACGTGAGGGTATTTTGGTCATTTTTCTTGTGTCTCTTTCATTTGCCTCACTTATCATGTCCAAGATATGCAAGAACACAAAATATTGTGTATGTCACTCCATCAAACAGTTTGTATGCAAGTCCCAACTTTGCCATTTTTGCATACATTTTTTTCGAGCATTAGTTTTATTCAACATTACAACATCAAAATCTCGGAAATGAAAGGAGTTTCCTTCATCTTAGTCAAAAAGTAGAAGCATATATGGATTTCAATCAAAGTCCACAAGAGAGATAGAGAGAGAAACAGAAAGAGAGAAAGAACTATTGGAACTCATGTCCCTCGTAAAAGAGACAAAGAAAGTATCAATTCAAAACTACAATTTATGAACACATTGGTGTATATGAACCTGTTACAAACATTCTACGAACTTTACGAACATGTTATTGGAGCCTTGGCTATGCAAAAACAGCTAATGTGTGAACCTTAAGAAAAGAGAGAGCATAAATGGTTGTTGGATAACGATACACAATTGAAATGATTCAAAATTAGACATGGTTGATAGCCCTAACACAAGTATAAACACACAATTGGGGATCCATCAAAGGAAATAAGAGAGCACACATAAGAAAGATCTTGAGATACACGAAGTTGAGGATATAACTGTGAATTAGTAAAGAACTTGTTCGAAATTCTGATGGTCTAATGATTGAATTGGGGCTACTTCTTTGTAAATTGATTGTTGATGCCCTCTTGGAGAAAAGAAATTAGGAGAAGAAGATTGGTGGGATCTAAATATTGTATTTCTACAATACTAAGTGGTACCACATGCAAGTATACACATGTTGACACTATCGCCTTCAAGTAATAAAATGGTAAGTACCAAGTATCGTATTCCATAGGGATATGTATCTTAAGTTGTAAGATCTCGAGTTAAAAGACTAACTTCAGATGGATAATTTGAAGACTTTGATTGGATCTGAGTTAACAATTGCAAATAACGGAACAAATAAAAGTAGCATAGGTGTAAGACTCGTGGTGGGACATAAACACAAATTCCAACGGACAATAATGTAGGGATGTTACAACAAGTAGTCAGCCACAATTAGTTCCACCATCTATTTTGAGGGTATTCCTCTCGGACTTCTGCCATTGTACTATATTATAGCTTTCAACCCATATCTCTATGTGGTATTAA